AAACAATTTAAGTGCTATTTAGAGAAATGACTTAAGTTTAATGCTATTTAGTACAAATATTTCATTTAATATATCAAATTTAATATACAAATCTTTTTGTTTTTATTTAAGCAAAGTAAATATTCCAAAAAAAAGGTAATTATAGCCAATTGGGATGACCAATTTAAGAGTCATTTATCTTGCAATTTAAAAAGTCAATATGGTTTGTTAATTAAAGCAATTTTGAGGAAAAAAGGAAATTGAATTTGTTGAGAATTTCAGTTCATAAGAAAAGCACAAAAAAACATCTTTAATTCTTATTGGTAAGCTTATATTTATAAAAATTAAATTTAAAAAATAGTTAAAATATTGAGAAAAAAACACTCCAGACAATATTGTTTGTTAATTAAAGCAATTTTGAGAAAAAAAGGGAATTGAATTTTAGGAAAGCACCATAAAAAATCATCTTTAATATTGGCAAGCTTATATTTATAGAAATTAAATTTTAAAAATAGGTAAAATATTGAGAAAAAAAATTCCGGTCAAGTTTTTTATTTATGAAATTAAATCTAAAACCCAATATTTTGATCCCCTTAAAACGATTTTGAAGAAAAATAGAAAATAATTTTTTAAAAAATTTCAAAGATGTCCAATTAAAAATCGAATCTAATTTGGATAAGTTTTTAATTCTAGAAATTGAATAAAAAATTAGGTGGAATGATTGAACATAGGGATGGCAATTCTATCCGAATCCGACTTTTACCGACCCGACCGGGGGTTATTATATCCGAATCCGAACAGAAAAATTAAATATCCAAAACCGACCCGAAAAAAATTAAACCGAACCCGACTTTTGTCGGGTTGGGTTTGGGTTAGTATATTTGACCGACCCGACCTGTACCCGAACCGACCCGACATGTACCCGACTTTCAATAAGTTTTAAATAACTCTAAATTCCTATATTTCATGTATTTTTTATGCACATATTTTTAATATTTTAAAACTTATTACATTTTTTATGTTTCATTTTTTATTGTGGTTTAATATTGTGTGTGTCCCACATGTGCTATTTTCATTGTACTCCATATATTATTAATTGAAACTTAATATTGTTTGTTCCACACGCGCGGGAAGACGAAGTGGTTGCAGATTTCTAGTCTGACGTCGCCCCCAACGAGATCGGACGACTTCCGTTTGACATCTTTAAGGGTTATTCGGTCATAATTATTTTTGATAATATCTTAAATTTTATATCATCTTTAAAATTTTTAATTTCTAATGCATTACAATCTTAAATTTTCATGAATAGTTTAAATATTATTCAAACCCGAAATTGACTGTAACCGACCCGACCGAGTCTTAAACCGAATCCGAACCGAAAAAAATAAATATTTGAAACCGACCCGCCAAAATCAAACCCGAACCCGACCTAAGTTAGGTCGGGTTTTAATATACTCAAACCCGACCGAACCCGACCCGTTGCCATCCCTAATTGAACACCATAGCCCTGACACCTTTTGGTGGAAGATATCATGGAGATTTAATTTATTAAAACCTAAATATAAATGACGATGGAAGCTAACTTGAAGGAGACGGGTGATGAAGGCCATCGTCATCGACATCGCATCTGTTTAGATCTTTGATCTATGAATCGGAGATAAGAATGAGAGACATTGATATTAATTTTGAATAAAATATTTCATAGATCGTGTACACCAAAAGCACCGAATTGGAGAGGAAAGCATTTACTTTGGATGTCCAAAAGCACCAGATAAACTATTTTAATTCTTTTAGTTTTCTCACTTAGATTACGTGTAAGCCAGCTGTGTAAAAATGATCTTCATGTGCATGCCAAATGCCAAAAGCAGAATAAAATTCTCATCTCAATTTTCCCTCCAAATCAATTAATCAACGGCCCAATTTCACTCTAGAAAAAACTGATTAAATCCTGGTCGCGAGTACTTCATTCGTTCCCCATAGATCTTCCTGATAGCCTTTTTTCTTTGTTCACAATAGATCTTCTCATTTCATTTTTTAACAATTAAAATACTACAACTACTTTCACTTACTTTATTTATTACACCTCACTCAAATCATTTAGGGGGTGTTTGTTTTTTGGTGTGAAGATCTTCTAACCACTTATGTCTGCGCCGTGCAGACGCGGGCAGACATTAGGGACGCGCAGACTGTTTGTTTTTTAGAAGACAAATCACTTAAAAACGTCTTCCAAACATCTTCCTCAAGCAGACGTAAACCTTAGCTTCTCGCGTCTTCTCATCCTTCCGATCTCTCCCTTCTCGATCTAAACCTATCCGACTTCTCATCCGCCCCGATCTCAAAACCTACCCCTGCCGACTTCTCTCTCCCTCCGTCGGCGACTTCTCTCTCCCTCCGTCGTCCGCCGTCCGTCTTCCTCCTCCTCATACCTCCAGCGACGCCTCCTCCTCTCAAAGAAGTAAGTTTTTTTCTTTTCTTTTGGTTTTTTTAATCTGTGAATTTGGGGTTTTGGAATTAAAAAATGAAAGCAAGCTTCTGTTCTTGAGATTGTGTACAATCGGCACTGTTCACAGTGAAATTCCAGCTCCAGTTTCTGCCTTCCTTTTCCTCTGGTTTCTGTCTGCGAATTGGGTGATTCCCATCTGTTTTTTCAGCTATTTTGGGTGATTCCCATGTGTTGTTGAGCTGTGTTGGGTGATTCCCAAGTTTGTTGAGTTGGTTTCCTGTTTTTTCTGGTGGTGTTTGGC